CTTCTAGTATTGGACGAGTTACCAGCAGATGAAGTTACCTTCTGAGTGTAATATGGCTCGAGTTCTCGAAAGTGCACATCCATGCTCACAAACAACCTTTTTTCCACCGGGCTCCAGCAAACATATCCCTTCTGAGTAGCAGAATATCCCACAAAGATACACTTCACAGCTCTAGGGGCAAGCTTCCCGACAGACGGCCTGTTGTCCTTCACAAAACACACACAGCCAAACACTTTGAGTGGAAGGATCCCACCATTATCTCCTTTCAATATCTCACACGGAGACTTCCAATCCAGCACTCTCGAGGGCATTCTGTTGATCAACGCTGCTGCGGTCAATACTGCTTGTCCCCATAATGTCTCTGGGACATTCATAGAGATCATCATGCTTCTAGCAACCTCTAAAAGATGTCTGTTCTTCCTTTCCGCTACCCCATTCTGTGCTGGAGTGTATGGACAGGTTGTCTGGTGATGTATTCCTTGAGCTGACAAATATTCTTCAAGGGCTCTGTTGGTATACTCTGTCCCATTATCTGACCTCAATACTTTCACCACTGCTCCGTATTGAGTCTGAACAGTCTTATGAAAATTTTGGAAGCACCCAAACACATCACTCTTATTCTTCATCAGGTATAACCAAGTAACACGAGAGAAGCAATCAATAAATGTAACAAAATATTTGTATCCATTCATAGAACTTGTGGAACAAGGCCCCCAAACATCTGAATGTACCAGGTCAAATGCATGAGAACTTCTATGACCAGAACTAACATAAGAGCTTCTAGTAAGCTTTCCCAACTCACATGCATCACACACAAGTTTCTGTTTATTTGCTTTCTCAAATAAAGAAGGATACAATCTACCTAAAACACTAAAGGATGAGTGTCCCAAACGCTGGTGATGGAGCATTAACTCATTTTCAGCACTCATTTTAGATCCTACTCCTGCTTCCTCTATGACTGACACCAATGCTGAATCCAGCCCTTCACGATCCAGATACCACAGTCCACTACGCCATGTGCCAGTCCCAAGTCTCCGCCCTGTCCCCTTCTCCTGGAAGATTACCTTGGGAATATCAAAAGAGACGATGCATTTTAGTTGGAGGATGATAGAACTAATAGATAAAAGATTGACTGGAAAAGAAGGAGCATGCAAAACATTGGACAAAGTTACAGAACCAGTACAATCAACTGTACCCTTACCAACCACCGGCTGAAATGTACCATCAGCTGTTTGAATACTATCAGGCGATGCTAAGTGAGTATATGATGAGAACTCACTAGCATTACTGTCCGATTCCCTGCTCCTCTTCCACCACGTCGACCCCCACGGCCACGACCACGACCTCCGAACTGTCCACGTCCACCCGAATCTCCATCCTTGGATGGCTTGGTGCAAGCATGCCGTAGATGACCCACGTCACCGCAGTTGTAGCATTGCCGAGTCTCTCCCCTGGATCCATTATTGTTAGATGCTGCTAAAGCTGACTTCACCACAGGAAGTCCACCTGTCCCCGCCTGCAGCTTAATGCGAGTCTCCTCCTGAATCATAGCCGAGACAGCCTCCTCAAGGGAGGGAATTTTCGGCTGAGCTAGCAGTAATGCAATTCGCTGAGCGAACTCTGATGTCAATCCCTTAAGAAACACCATAGTCCTCTCCTGTAGAAAGGCCTCCCGCTCTTTACATCCTGGGTCCTTGCAGCTCGCCCGGGGGGAAAAATGATCATAATCCAGCCATAGACGCTCCAGCTCTGTAGCATATTCTTGTACAGTCCTCTCTCCCTGGACTGTGGTGTCAATCTCTCCTTTGATCTGGAACACCCTCAGGTTATTCCCCACTCCATCATATGTCCTCCTCAACTTCTCCCAGACGTCCTTCACCTTCTCAATGCCATCTACTGTGGCGGCGATTGTCGGGACCAACGAGTTGAGAAGCCAGATATACACCAACATATGAGTGGACTTCCACTCATCCCGTCCTCCCGAGTCCTCATCCGGTTCTGTCTTTTCTCCAGTCAAGTAACCTTCCAGGTTCCTCCCTGCAAGGGTGTATCTCACCCGTCGTGACCAACTCAGGTAAGTACTCGGTCCATCAAGCTTCAGATCAATGGTGGGAAGCTCCAACTTCTTTGATGGTCTTGTCGCGCTTTCATCAGCCGACAACTTCATCAACTTCATCAAAGTTGACACCTCCGCAGGGTTCAACTTCTTGATGATCTCCTCCATCGATCAAGCTTCAGATGCAACACCTGTTCTTCAAACCCTTGTTGTGCGCAGTGAAAATTTCGGCAGCACTTCTGCTGCACAACAAGAGTAAGATCTTCCAACAAATTCTCGTTTCTCAGAGGAAACTAGAATCCAAAACAGTTATATATCTCATCGATGTGATATATACTCTTCCTGTCATCAGTTCGAGGACTGAGTCGAGGGAACCAATGCCAAACTCGAGGGCCAGCATGGTGAAGCGGGGGGGTTCGAGGTGACACGGCCTAAGGGGGGGGTTTTTTGATTGAAGGGCTAAAGGGGGGAGGTTTGATCTGAGGGGGGGTCGTGCTGTGGCCTGAATGGGGATCGGTGCTGGACTGGGGGGATCGGGCGATTTCGGGGCGGGTTCCTGTGGTAGATCGAGAGTGGGGATAAGGGCGGGAGGTCTGCAGGTCGAAGAAAGAAGGGGGGAGGCTGCAGGTCGAAGAAAAGGAGGCAGGAGTCGGAGATAGGTTCGCAGGTCCGGAGTATATGGCTTGGGGTCTGCATGGTCGCAGATGGATGGCGGGGGTTCTGCAGTAATCGGAGATAAGGGAGGGGAAAGGTGCTGCCCAGCAGGTCGAGAAAGGGGGAGGTGCAAGCGGGTTGTGGAGGGGTGGGTGGTGTGGCGGCGGCTAGGGTTTGGAGAATGCTCTGATACCAAGTTGAAATAGAAACCCTAATTCATTATGATATCTCTTGGGCTTTATATAGGCCCCTACAAATCTTACAAATAAGTCCCTAATAATACTAATATGTCAACACTAAGCAACAACAGCTGGAGGAGAGAGAGTATCTGAAGACGTGTTTCTTCATAAAGGACCTTAGCAACTGCCTCATAGAGTAGGGAGAGGGCTATTGTGAAGAATATGTCCACATAAGCTTACAAACTTATGACGAAGACGCATGACAAAGTGTTATAACTACTAATTATCATGTTATTTCTGAAACGCAATAGCAAATTTGGGAAGTGTTATAGGAACATGTTCTTCTATGGTCTATAATCCTTCGCAATAACTAGATAGTAAACAATAAAAGTCCTAGATACGCTGATCACCTTGACAAGCATCTTGAAGTGCCTAATAAGTTGACACTCGCGAGCAAAATCGGTTTGAACAAACATGGGACTGGGGGTTAGTCACTGCGTACGGGATGAAGGTGTATGTCTAAGAGAGCCGAATAAGAAATACCTATTGTTCTCATATTGTAGGCAATAATTTGTTGATCAGTATGAATTCGCTGATTATAAGTGACATGGGAAGTACCAGTAGTGAAGTCACCGGAAGTGGCCTCTGATGTAGATGGTGCAGAAGACAAGGGAGTCGGTCCAAACAACGGTTGTAGGTGAACAAGGAAATGACCCATCAATGTAACCCTATAGTGCAAAAGTCTGAAAATCATACTGTATAGTAAGATCCCATGCAGTACAATTATAAGCACTCGTAAGTAGACATCAAGATGTGAATTCCTTTCTTGTTCCTCGTTATGGGACAAAATAACAAAGTATAGGATTTATAGTGGATGATATTGACGAATAACACAGTCAAGTGAATGAGTGTATTTGAGTGGCAAAATATGGGTGAGAATATCAAGAAAAATATATGATCTCAATCCTATTTCAATCCTCTTCTCCTTCGATTGCTCATGGATAGCTAACAATACCGTACCAACATCGAGCGAACAGAGAGCCGTGATTGATGACAGTGGCAGTGACAAGCAGAGATGTTTGATCATGGATGCAATGATGTCAATGAGCACTTGAGAAGGCGTCGTTGATGAGTAGAGACATCAGCATTGGTGTGGCAACAGTAGCTGCATCTAAGGTTCTCTTAGAGCGAGGTTGGACTCGGTGGCGACGCAGAGACCATTGGGAGTGTGGTGACACAGGTCTGAGGGGAGGCGAGGATGGAGGAGTGGTCAGTCAGAGTTGATTGAGAAAATATTGATGGATGGCTAGGATTTTTGAAGGGTTTGAAGGTAAGGCTCTGATACAATGTAACCTTTGTATATTTCGGAATTGGTATTGGGCTTTACATGTTCTTAACTTATATATACATGTACCCACCTACAGCCCACCAACAACCCACAATCTGTACATGCTTACAGAGCGGTTGTATGTGCTTATACATGACATCTAACATAGGGTGGCTATAGGGTGGTTATATATGATAATACCTAACAATTACATTTAGAAAGTCACTTGGATCGGAAATGTAGCCTGCTGTGTATATGTTTTTTGGTTCCTCAAGTGATATAAGTTCTAGTTATAACTATAACTGTAATTTTAAGTAGGAAATTGATATTCCACTTTAGGGTCAGTTACGAACTTTATCTTCAATATTGTCACTTCTATATTGTTGCACACAATTTCTTAATTTCTGTCTCATTACTTCAGTTTTTTGAAGTTTGATAAAGCTATAATTTTAAGTTGAAAATATAATGGATAGTTGGTTTAACTTCTCTTTATGAGTGTGCATTCTGGAGGTCATCATGATTTCTTGAAAGCTGTGAAAATTCTGACAAATATCATATGGTGGCCTATTGAAATCCAATTGCATGTTTGTTTTGTTAGTTTGAATCCAGTTCCATATTATTATTAGTTGGGGAGTTAAATTCTTGCTATCTTATCTTGCTGTTGACATTTCATTTTAATACAGAGCTTTAAAAGCTCATTATCTGATTTCCTTAATTTGCATTGGATCATATTGTTTTAGATTAAATTTCATAGTCCCATTAGCTAAACTTATTTCTTTTTTAGTGATGCTGTGAAAGATAATTGGAGGGATTCTTCTAGGTCCATACTACCCATATACCGCGAGCTAATAGAGCACGGCCTTCGAATATGGGTGTTCAGGTGAGCTTAACCTCAATAACTTTTTTTTTTCTAGAACTTAATTTACAGAAGTTACATGACTGAAACATTATTTGATGATAAACTCGTGCTGGGATTGCACACGCCCTATAAAATGGTCTATCTTATCAGAAAATTCCTCCTGACCAATTGTTCGTGGTCTTAAAGTTATTCTTAATTCCTTACATGAAGTGGACTTGCACACGCCCTATATTACAGGGATCGCTTGATAATACTTGTTACTTTACGGCACATAAGCAAATAAAGCACAGAACTGTTTAGCACTGTTTACTCTTTTGCAAATCATTGTCTCTGTAATAACCTCCTTGTTTTCAGGACCAAGTTTTCTCGTAATCATCAGCGTCTAATGAATTTTAGTCATGATATTCCAATAATTTGTGTGTGCAGTGGGGATGCAGATAGCGTAATTCCAGTTCCATCCACTCGGTACGTTATTGATGCTCTCAAACTTCCAACTGTAACTCCATGGCATCCCTGGTATGATGATGGTCAGGTATGATATCATATTCGTCTCTGTATGTGATCATTGTGTTAGAGCTGAATTACACAAGTAAATGAAAAAAGAGGAGGGAACCTCACAAGTAATTCCTTTTCTTTCTTTTTAGTTGATTCTCTTCCAAGTTTGTTGTTAATTTCTTCATTTCTCAAGATATCATTTGATATTCAAGTAATCATATTTAATTTCATGATGTTTCTTCAAGTAATCAAATGTAATTTCATGATATTTGTGAACTTGAATATTACTTCATAACGCTAGCGTATCATTTCTATTTGCATCAATTCCTGTCTACATGTTATGTTTTTATGGAGTTTTGGACACCTCAGTACTTTTAAAATTGTAGTTATTCTAAATATATTCTTTCATAGTATTCCTAGCTCAACAATTGTAAAGTAAAAATTGTCATTCTGTTAAATTCTGTTGCCTTTGACAGAAATATTATTGTATTTGAGTTTCTCAGTTTCTCACCTCCATCTCTACAAGTGATCCGTCTGCCTTTCTAATTAAAAGTTGTTCGCTTGGCTATAGGCTGATAAATTGTCAGTGTCTTCCCAACTTTGTTGTGGTTGTTTTCATTTTCTCTTCATCCTTTTGTGAAAGTTACTGTGCTTAACTTAAGGAAAAGCTGAAATAGGATTCTGGTTGTGTGTTGTCTTAACTCCTACAAAGACTCCATGCTGAACTTGCAAAAGACCAAAACTCACCACCTTTACGATCACAATTAAGCAGGCATGTAAATGATTTGAATGTGGCGAACATGGTTAGATTGATGTGGTACGTGTTACTTTGTCATCAAATGAATGACGTCTTCTTTTGGAAATCCTAGCTATTCTTAGCATGATATTGGGGAATCTCATTGTTATTGCTCAAACAAGCATGAAACGTATGGTACGTAGTGCATAAGATGTATGATAGTCTTTATTATTGTCTTCGTGATCTTTAAAGCTAGGTCCATCTACCATCTGCAGTTTTAGGTTCTTAGACAAAGCCCTTTATTGCTCGTTGTGCGTGAGCTAGAAATTTGATCCAAAACACATTGCCCTGATTTTTTGTGCCAAACAGTTTCTAGCTGATTCATGTATGATCCTTCTAGACTTTGATGGTCCCTAGTCAATCCCATTTTAACAGGGAAAGTGCTTAATCACCATATTAATGTTGTGTGATATTGTTAGTAATTTAACTTTTATCCACACAGCGCAAATTATCAAAGCTACAGATTCATTCAGATGATCATGATGACATTTATTTCTTATTACGATTTTTCTTTATTACTAAATAAAAACATAAACGCCTTATTGCTCTTGCTCCGAAATTCATATGAGAATTAAAAGGCTATATGTATTGATCCCAAAACAGGTTGGTGGGAGGACCCAAGTGTACGAGGGGCTAACATATGTTACTGTTAGAGGTGCTGGCCATGAGGTTCCTCTTCTTCGACCCAAGCAAGCCCTCATACTCTTCAGGTCATATTTGGCAGCAAGTCCGATGCCGACTCTCTCTGAGGTTGAGGATTCTTGAGTTTGGCCTCCGCCTTCTATTTCTGCAGGCTAATGGACACTTTCAAGCTTCTTCAGCTTCCAGTTTAAACGAAATGCCAGAAGAATGCGGATATCCCATTTTTCTTTTGATGCACAATAAAACCTTGTTCGGTTTGTATACATTCAGGGTTACGAGTTTTAGATTGGTTACCTTTTTGTAGTTTTATGGGAAGATTTAGAGGCTGGGTCTTCTTAACATCACGTATTTGGATGTAATATGAAGCTTTTCCTTTTTGGCGTTGGGGAACTGTATAAAAAAAATAAAAGGAGTCGCGGAGGGAGGCTGTATTTTGAACTTGTCAAGCGTTGTGCGAGCGCTTACTTTACTTCTTTAGAGCATGAAATAAATTAGCTGATACCTGTAAGTGCCGTCGCGCCGTTTAACCTTCACATGTCTAAGCTATACGGGCGTTCAGTTCATAATTGAGTTGGTGTAGATCGATGTCCTCCGTCATTTGATATCTTTGTAGTGCTCTCGTCTCGTGTTGCTCTTCGGATGACGAAGATTGTTGGGAGTCAGCTTCCGTGTCAGCCTCATCTGCCCTATCAAGGTCACGGCCGGCGTTTTCATTGGAAGGAAGGAAAAAAATAAAAAAAATCGTACCAATAGGTTAATTGCAAGAAAAAAACCGCACAAATAAAATTGCTTAGCATGCCAATCCTGTGCTCTCAACTAAAAGGCCAGTTGCCAAAAATCGAAGATAAGAGGCCTATGGGTCCTGTGTGTCGATCTCAACCAATAGGTTAATTGCAAGAAAAAAACTAAATAGGCGGAAGCACTTAAAAAGAGATTGAACATGTGGGAGGGAGTAGAGAGAACAAATTCTGTGCTCTTTCTTTGCCTAAGAGCAAGTGCAACAATCTCCTAGTAGGGAGCTCTTGTTGGCGTGCTCTCAAGCATGGGACCCACTTAGGAGCTTCCTATTAGGAGAAGTATTCCAACAAACCCCCAATTATGAGCTTAAATATTATTTAAAAAATTCATTCATCTACCCCTGACATTTTATAAATATATTTTAAAACAATAAATCTAATAAAAAAATAATTTTTAGTGGTCCCCCACCCCTTAGGAGCTCCCAAGTGCTCCACAAATTTGTGGAGCCCTTAGAGCAAGTGCATCAAGCTCCCAGTTGAGAGTCCTAGTCAGCAAGCTCTTAAGAGGTCTCAAGCATTTTAGAATAAAAAATTAAAAAATTAAACCTTGGGAGGCACTCCTTTTATGGAGCTCCAACAAGCTCCTAGTTAGGAGCTCCAACAATATCAAAAAAAACCCTCTTCTATTTTAATATTTTACCCATTACTTTTAATTATATTTAAACCTCTTGTATTTTATTTCTAACCGTTGGATACGGCCTTCGAGGGAGCGTACACGGTCTTCGAGGCAACCCACGGTCTTTGAGGGAGCGCACACGGTCTTCGAGGTAACCCGCGGCTTTCGAGGGAACGCATACGGTCTTCGAGGTAACCCGCGGTCTTCGAGGTTGGGCACGAAGTTTGAGGTATCGCAAACTTTGATCGTCAACCGACTGATTCCTATAAAATTCGATGGCTTCTCTCCTCAACCCATAATCTCCCAGAATAAAATGTCTAGCTCATCTAGCTCTAGCGATGATGAAATGATGAAGACGTTCTTTCTTATGGGAGCTGCTGTCGTTGAGGAAGAAGAACAAGAGAAATGTTCAACTTCAGTTCAACACAAACGACGTATCGTGCTCCATCGAAACCGACTGGAAGGCCACAATCGGTTGTTCCAAGATTATTTTGCTGACGCACTAACCTATCCTCTTTATTATTTTCGTCAAAGATTCAGAATGACGCGTTCGTTATTCCTTCGAATCCACGACGCAGTCGTCGAACATGACAAGTACTTCGTCCAAAAGAGGAATGGTGCTGGATAGTTAGGATTATCTAGTCTTCAAAAGATTACTGCAGCTATGCGGATGCTCGCATATGGAGCATCCGCTGACTCCGTTGACGACTACGTTCGGATCGGTAAAAGTACGTCGCTTGCGAGCGTGAAGAGGTTCGTTCGATCGATTATCAACATCTCTGGAGAGGAATACCTTCGTTCACCGACTAATGAAGACGTTGCACGCCTGCTCGAGGAAGGCTCACAACGAGGTTTTCCTGGTATGCTTGGGAGCATCGACTGCATACACTGGACATGGAAGAACTGTCCAACTGCCTGGCAAGGTATGTATACTGGATATTTTTTATGAACCTACAATTATTTTGGAGGTCGTAGCTAGCAAAGATCTTTGGATATGGCATTATGCCTTCTTTGGACTGCCGGGGTCTCACAATGACCTTAATGTTCTACATCGTTCACCGGTTTTCGCACAACTTGCAGAGGGAAGAGCTTCACCGTGCAACTATACTGTCAATGGCCACGAGTATAATATGGGATACTATCTTGCCGACGGGATTTACCCAGAGTGGTCCACATTTGTGGAGACTATTCCAGCAACTCGAGGAAACAAGCATAAGTACTTTGCTCAACAACAAGAAAGCACAAGAAAAGATGTTGAGCGAGCTTTTGACGTGTTGCAAGCTCGATTTGCGATTGTTCGTGGACCAGGATGTTTCTGGCAACCTTGTGTGCTGAAAAATATCATGACAGCTTGTATCATAATGCATAACATGATCGTTGAAGATGAATGTGATTGTCAATTGGACAACAACTTCGACTTTACTGATTCGGTACCAGTCGTTGAACCTTCTCATGTGCAGACAGTGCCTCTAACTGAGTTCATCCAAAATCATCATCGGATTAGGAACACGCAAACACACAAATCACTAAAAATGATTTGATCGAGCATCTGTGGCAGCTTAAGGGATCCATCGCCGAGGATTAAGTTTCTTTATGTCTAATGTAATTTCAGAAAAGGAGTTCAAGTTGTTGTACTACGCCAATTTTATTTTCAATAAAGTAGTTGTTTTCATTCAATGCCAAAATTTTCAACTTCAAGTACAATCATAAATCTAATACAAGATAATATTTGATAATTAGGAAGAACTAATGAGGATGTGATGCGAGTATAATATATGATAATTAGGAAGAACCCTTGGACATCCACCTCTCCAATATCTCTGCCTGACGCATTTTAAAGTATTGTCGTTGAACTAAATTGAGTGTTGAGAGATCCATCTTCATGATATCGTCATCTTGTTTCTTCTGTTTTAGCTCTATTTTTTGATTGGTGGTTTGTTTCATCTACGCGAAAGCCTCTCCCATGATGGACGTAGCGGATCCAGAGTTTTCCACATTTTGTTTCCTCTTGAGCTTTGCTGCTTTCCTCCCTTCAGGCCTTACTAACACATCATCCGAGTCGGTGTTCAACTCGATGGAGGTCGCTGGCATGGAATTGTTTGGTGAGGAATCAGAGTTTGTGGTTCTTCTCGGTTGTGATCGAATCTTATTGTAAGTTTTCATTTGTTGGATTCACTTTTGATGATGACGCAACTCAACCCAGCAATGGTCAAACACGAATGGCTTACCATAAAGAGATTTGTATAATTCTTTTACTTTTGCAGTCTACACAAAAGTTAAATTTAGAATAATATAACATAAGTTAAATATTTACATAAAAACATATAAGTTAAATATTTACTTGGTCAATAATTCCCGTACCAGATCTTTGTCTTCCTTCAATCTGAGCAACGCACCCGCAGAACTTGTTGACAGACAGTTGAATCGTTGACCAACGGTGCATCATTTGGTTTGGTGTGCGGTTCGTTGGATCGGTGAAGTATTGGATAAAGTAATCGTTAGCTCTGTGCCAAAACTTATCTTTGTGTTGCCCTGTACCTTGGATGGCGTCTTGGCTCGTGTTCAGCCAAGCAGACACAAGAAGCTTATTCTCGTGGACAGTCTAATTTTCGGACCTCGTGTAAGCCTTCTTTTTCTTTGTGGTCGGTGTTTCTTGGGATGACACTTATTATGTTGCTGATGCAAGAACTCGATAGGGTTACCTTCTTCTACGAAGGTCGATCCTTCACCGGTAAGGAGTTGCGAATAATAGTTTTGTGAGGGATCCATGAGATTTGTAATTTGATAGGGAAATATAGAGTTTTTTTATGAGAGAGTTGTGTGGAATGATTTGTGTATTGAAGTGAAACGAATTTATAGATGATTTTTGAGAGTTGTGTGGAATGATTTGTGTATTGAAGTGAAACGAATTTATAGATGATTTTTTACAATAGTAAATTTTTCAACGGCATGATTTTTCAACGGCTGCATTTTCACAACGTCAAATTTTCCAACAGCATGATTTTTCAACGGCTGCATTTTCACAACGTTCGATTATCAACTCAAAATTTCACAACTCAAAATTTCACAACTCAAATTTTTCACCTCAAACAACGCACCCAATTAAAAAAAATCAAAAACTCAATCTTCTCCCTTCGACAGACCCAACCCCAAATCTTCAACAGACCCAACCCCAAATCCTCTCCCTTCGACAGACCCAACCCTAAATCCTCTCCCTTCGCCACCATCATCTCCGACCCGACCCGAACGCCGTCATCATCTCTGGCGTCGGCATGCGGAGGTGCAATCGGAGGCACCCAATCATCCATCATCTTCGAATCGAACGCCACCCATTAGTCTCCGATCCCACCCCGAACGCCACCCCTCATCTCCGCGAACGCTAGCATCTGAGCGAACGCCCTCATCTTCGGACCTGATTTTTGAGGGGGGTTTTTGTAAATCCTCTCCCAGTTGGGAGCTCCTAAGCGCTCCACAAATTTGTGGAGCGCTTGGGAGCTCCGAAGATCTCCACCGCCACGTCAGAGCTTGGGAGCTTGCTGGGAGCGGTTCGGAGGCTGCTGGAGGGGGTGAAGCAAGAGACCTTGGCCACGTAGGAGCTGAGAGTGGGCTTGGGAGCTTGCTGCTCATTCTCTTAGGAGCTTCATGGTGGACCCCACCGCCAACTAGGACTTAGGAGCCTCCTTGGGAGCTTGTTAGAGTATGTTGGGAGCTTTTCCTTACCACATCACCCTTAGAAGCCTCCTTGGAAGGCTGCTGCACTTGCTCTAAAGGGGAACCCGGTCCCCTCTATCTCAAATGGGGTCAGTAATGGGCCACTATGCTGGCACGCTATTCTTCACACCTTCGGAAGGAGGGGGAGGAAAGCTATGGCAAAGAATAAGAAACCTCTCCATTTTTACCCCAAAACTCGGGAGACTTTGATATTCTCTTTTGCAAAGCTCCTCTTAAAAAAGGAGAAGACAATATATGAATATATGCTTGTTATCATAATCTCTACTTATCATGTGTTTTTGCTCAGGGGGGAGAC